AATGGGAACTCCGTGAACATCATGTACCACGACACGTTCCAGGGTCTCGGCCTGGATAGGAAAGACTTCACCGGGGACTCTATTGAGTCAGAGGGCAGCATAGTCCTCTCCGTGATGGTGGGCTTCGGCCTTCGAGCCCTGCGTATCCAAGTTAAACATCGAGTTCATCGTCATACGCCTAACTTGTGGGCATAAGATCATCATGGGTAGACCGACTCTGGAGGATGTGATCGAGGTGTGTGATATCCAAGGAGCAACATGACGGAAGGGATCTCAAGAGTCCGCCTACCGGTCTGACGGAAGGGAGTTCAGGGGTCTGTCTACCAGCTCAGCCGGAAGCCTGCCCACCAGCCCAACTTGGAGGGAGCTAAAGCATCCGGCTTGCCTGCAAGGCTGACTAACCAGGACTACTCCCTCTTAACCGAGGCTATTACTCGACTAAGGGAGTGGGGACTCGTGATGGGGTTATGAGACTAGGTCCACAGTCTAATCAGCCCAGGCCCCGAACTTGGACCCATGAGTCCAGGCCCAAGCCCATGAGCATTATCTCATTAGGACAACCCAACCAGTGGGCCTAGCAACCCAGAGCTCAAGCCGGCCTAATTGATCAAGCCCGTCAAGGAGCGGAAGTTTAATAAAGCAAAGGTCCAGCGGAGCGGATGCCCAAGACGGTTTGCCTACCAGCCCAATCGGAAGTCTGCCTTCCATCCCAGCAGGGAGCCTGTCTCCAGCTCATAGGGGAGCCTGCCTACCGGCCCAATCGGAAACCTGCCTTCCGGCCCATCTGGGAGTCTGCCTTCCAGTCCATCGGGGAGCCTGCCTCCAGCTCTGCGGGAAGCCTGCCTTCCGACCCAGTGGAAGCCTGTCGCGCAGTCCAGTGGGAGGGAGCTCGAGCGTCGGGCCTGCCAGCCAGGAAGAGTAACGACCTACAATTAATGTGCTATTAATTATGTATTTAATTTCGTATTAATGTTGTAATTAATTTTGTCATTATTACATTCTGCAGTTACCATTTGTAATCACCTATAAAAAGAAACTATGATTTAAATGAATTTTCGTAGTACTTTCTATTTTTCGCTTGAGTGTCTTTCGAAGCTTTCCTAAAAAGCCTACAAACGTCCTATTTTGGACCAACACCCTACACTATGAAATCCAAAGGTTACAAGATTAGACTCACCCAAGAAAGTAGTTTTGTCTCCATGTGGTGTTTCTAATTAGGGCTAACTCCCCCCAATTATTAGTAATGTTTAATTTTTTTTTTATCAAATGTGTGTGATATATAGTTTTGTCATATACATTTGACTAATAACAAAAGTTTATGGTTTTAAGTGCAAGGTTTGAGTTTATGTTAGAGGAAGATCTTAAGAGATGATATGCACTAAATAGTAGTGCATGAATGTATGTTTTTATATTTTGATTTATGTGGATTGTCTACCTTTATTGTAGTTTTGCAAACACTTGTGTGATTTCAGTTGTAATTGTTATTTGGCTTTCATTTGTAAGTTTTAAAGTTGTTGTAGTATTGTTAGTGTTGAAAAAGAGGAAAAATGCTGCCCAGGAGCACTTACCCGATTAGGTAAAGACCTTCACCCGATCGGGTGAGAAGTGAAATCCGAAGCTACAAGGAAATAGCACTTACCTGGTCGGGTAGGCTACTTCACCCGGTCGGGTGAGAAGTGACTTGGGACAAACAATCATGCTGAAACACAAGAACATGACGAATCGATCCGATTTTGACCGGTACCTGGTCGGGTAAGCACTATACCCGGCCAAAGGTGTTGAAAAACACCTATAAATAGCACACTTTTCCTTCACTAATTTCTAATTCCTTCTTCCATACTCTTAAGCTCAGTTTAGAATAGCTATTTCTTTATATTTTCAAGTATGTTTAGTCTCCAAATGAGGAGCTAAACTTCCATTTCTTTGTTTTGCTCTTGAAGCTAGTTGAATATTAAAGTTGTGAGTTATTTTCTTAACTTCTTTTCTTGAATATTAATTCTTCCCTCAATCGTATTTCAATATTAATGTTGGGGTGTTGCTAAGTTCCGATTAGCTCATGCTTCGACATTAATTATTACTAGAAATGATCAACGAACCGATGGTTAATCGTTGGTGGTTTCACGAGTAAGTAACTTTGGTTTATTAATGCACGGTCGTGGTTAATAAACTTAAGAGATACTAATTGTGTTGGTTAAACCAAAACCGTTGTGTTGAGGTTATCAATCTTAGTTGATTTCATCAAAAATTAGATGTTACTATTAAATCGGTATACGACATTGTTCTATATTTGATTAATAGTAAGAGTTGTTAACGATCAGTCGTTATTAATAACTGCCCTCGATGAAATGGAGATACTCCTCAATTGAGTATTCGAGAGGGGATAAGTTAAAGATATAATCGAGATCAACTAAATAATTCAACAGGTGGAGAGCAGCAAAGCCAAGTTCTTTATCTTTGAATTAAAACACATAAGTCGTTCATCTTAGTGTTTGATATACATACTTTAAGTTTAAACAACAATCTTAACCCCCCTTTGTTACTAGTTTTATAAAAGAGAAATATTCCTTTCCATGTGGATACAAACTCTTCTTCACTATACTACGTATAAGTGTTGTTATCAAATTTATTTTGAAGCACATATGTCTTTAGTGCCGTCCAGAGACCTCCTTCAAATGATAATGTTACAACTGCTATTGGAGATCATCTACATATAGTATAACCTAGAGACGCTGATGCATCACAAAGAATTGCCTAAAAGCATTGCCGTATGATATGAGAAGAGGAAAAGAGTTGAGATGATTGACGTTTCAAGCAAACGAAAGCTAATCTCGAAGCTATGCCAGTGTTATCATTAGTTTAGAACTAAGAGTTAATGTGTAAGTTAGATTTTAGGTTTATATCATGTATGACAAATTGAAAATATTCGTGCATCATATTGTTGTAATATGATATATTATAAAAATTATTTATTGGAATATAGTTTTTACATAATATGACTATTGAAAACAAATTGTTCGCCATTTCGCAACTGAAGTAGTTTTTTTCACAAAATGTCTTTTGTGGTCACAAATAGTCTTTAACCACCATCTTTCAAGATTTTGTGACCATTCTTTCGTTTGCTAATGGGCCTTTTCTTGTAATGTATGTTGTCATTATTACGCAATGACGAGTGTGTTTTTGTTGTTTTTGTCGTTGATAAGTAACGTGGAGATCTTATGTCATCGTTAATTATTAATGACGAACTTTGTCGTTAAAACCAATAATGACAGAACCTATAACAACCATTTGACAACGAAAAAAAAGTGATCGTTAAAAGCTCTATTGACCAACTTTTGGGATTATAACGACAAAAAATTTTATCGTTAAAAGCCCTTTTATAGAAGTGTTATCATCTCTCTTTTCATTTGCCATGCATCCTTCATTCACCCATAAAGAATAAGATTGTTTCAATCGGCCTCCCATGTCCATTCATCCTACCCACTCAATCAACCTCTCCCTAACTTAAAAAAACCCATCGTCAATTCATCGCCCATTCATGGCAACCTCTCATCTATCCCAAGTTAGTTATCCTTTCTAAATCTCATCTTCCTTAGCTCCCCTGCCCCATGAGAAATCATGTCTTGCTGGAAACTGTCTCTTCTATTGCGACTCTTCTTCCGCTCACCTCATCAGTCATGTCCCCCAATCCATTGGCGGTGTAGTTATTAATAGGAAAGCCAAGGAACATCGCAGTCCGGAAACTTAGAGTCAAGAGGCCCTAGGTTACGTATGGAGCACGTCACAAAAAGAACTTAAGAAACACCCACATTAGTTTTTATTTCAAGAAATATTTTCATGCATAGTATGTAATTAATAGAGATGGTTTAAAGCATCGTACGTGACTGAAACATTTTGAGCTCCTTAGATCATTCTACATACTTTATCTTAATGTTAATCTATAATAAAACAGTGACCCGCTTAAAATTTTCAAGTAACTGGGTTTTTATATTATATAATTTGTTCCATTTCCATCAATTTTTATGCTTAGATGTTCCTTATCTAATCTTTCTAGAATGGTTTGCAGCCAATTATGTAATCAAGATCATGATGAGAATTATTGTAGCTGAAGTTTATGTGTATCTTCTTTGCCAGTCGTAAGTGACTTCTTGCTTGCTGGTATTGTTATGAGTTCATATAAGACATAATTGTGTATACATTTTTTCAGAATAGTTAAACACCTAATATAAAAAAGTAGTTTATGTCGTGCTACTATCTATTTTCCTCAATTGTGTCTGCAAATGAAGTTCTATTTGAACTCTAAGTTATACATCCTCCACCCCATTCAAAAAAGCAAAACCGTTGTTTGATGCAGGTACATAGCTTATCTGATTTAGGAATGAGTTGCCCGAGAGGATCTTTTTCTTTGTGGGGGTGCTGCTTGTACACATAATTTGTACACATTTATTAGCTAGCAAAGCTTTCTTTGATATGGCCAACAAAAGAAGATCATTGGAGATCAATTAAACATTCCATATAGAATAAAATGCATGTATTGTGAAGCAAAGTTTTTTTTTGCTTGCATTCACAATACCATGATAAGTACCTTTGTACAAGTACTTTTCATATAAACATAGAATGATTTTATATTATATTTTTCAGATATACAATGCCAAGATTACAAAAACTATTATTGTTCAATCGAATATAATGATATGTACAACAGCAACAACAACAACAACATTATCCCAGTGCCGCAAGGTCTCGATCCCACCTACGGTTTGGTATGCGGGTTTGGTGTACACAACTTTACCCATGTACTAAAGCAAATACTGTTTCCGAATGATCCATGATGAAAGTTGCGTCGAAAATTACTGACTGCTGCTTCATAACAAAGAAGCGCATACAATTTAGTGAGACATTTAACTTTATGTCATCATATTCTCAAGCCAAAAAATAATGAGTCTTTGGCTTCATTGGAAATGATGGAAAATTACAATAATATTTACTACACTCTAATTTACTTGTCAGTTGCCAGGTGACCAAATGCCATGGAATCCCATGGGGAAATTGAATTTTGCTGGAACTTTAACTTATGTCACCATTTTCTTACTTTTCCCAATCCTTTTTGCATCCAACACACCTAGGTAACACCTATGTGTTGAAACTGCGTACTGCACATTCACGATTAAAAATAGTCAATTATATGTGTATGTTACATGAATCTCAATACTCCTTTCAAGAATCAAATAGTACTACGACTCAATTTGTTAACCTCTATTATCAATTTATCAGTTTTATCAACCAATGTTTTATCAGACATATAACTTTTGATAAAGCACGCTAAATTATAGAATAAATAAAATAAGCTGAAGTTACTTTAGAGTACTACTTTACTTATTTTCTAAAATTTTCATCTTAATTTTTTTGTGTAAAATATATTTTAAATAAAAAAATTCATAGTTTAGCATATTCAGTCACTTTAGTATGAATTTCATCCATTTACGTAGATTCATTCAACTCAGTTTTACCAAATGGGCTCAAAAATAGTAGAATTAGTTTCGTAAATCATTCATATACGGATCGAGTACTTAACATTAATTCTTTAACTTACTCATGTGCACATTGAACCTTGTCACTAATTAATTTGTTAGGTAGTATTATTCGGGACGTTATGACTTGAATGTACAATTTCACATTAAAAAAAATCATACCAATGAAGACTTTTGCAGTCCGCTTTTGGAGGAAGTTATACTTTAAATTAGTGGAAGATTTCTTAAAATTAAAGACGAAGTTACTACTTACTTACAGAATATGATCTGCATGTATGTAAAGTTACGAAAGTACTAATTGACACGACAAAACTTGTGAGACTAAACAACAAATAATACCTCTTAATTGTACTTATACATACTCATAAATATTTTCATAGACAATAAAAAGAGAATAGTATGCATTATGGATGTTAATCATGTTATATAAAAAGCGTATTATGAAATTAGGTAAAGAATGGAAAAGAGAGATAGAAAGTTGGAAAAAGTAGAAAAACAGAAAATTGAAAAATGAAAAATAAGGTAAAAATTATTTCATGAAAATAGATATATAACAAGAAGTAATGATGAATATATAATTAAAATAAAGATAAGTGACAAAGAAAAGACCTTTTATGCTTTTGTTACTAAAATGTTATCTTTAATTTAGTGAAGATGACTGTCAGTCCATCTTCAAGTTTACATTATGGTGGCTGTGATATTTTAATTGTAGTCGTATTTTGTTCGTATTTGATGTATTTCATCATTATTATTATATAAGAAAAGCAATACTACGTCCTAAAATGGTAATATCATATAATAACAAATAAAATCACATTTATTTGATGCATAAAATGAAATTATAATACTCTCTTCATCTTTGGTTCCTTTGGGAACAAAGATAGGCTCACCAATGAAACGTCTCATGCCTGAAGACCATGTTTGGGTGGTCTTATTTGCTGTGTTTAGTTTGACCACCGTATCAAAGGGGAAATACGGCAGTGCATGGCGTGAGCCTGATGATGTTGCCGCATACATTGAAAATTGAAATGGAAGTTATAATTGGTAAATTATTGGCAGTGGCGGAATCAGAACAAAAATTGAGGGGGCGAAAAAAAATCAAATCATCGAGTTGGAAAGATATATAATCTCTACTATATTCTTTTTTATGTATTTATATAGATTAATTTGATCTCAAATTGAATGCAGAAGAAATATTTTCATTTTCATGAAGTGACTCTTTATTTAAACCTATATACACAAGCGCACACATACACATACATATATATACAATCACATATATTTCCATCTATATTTGTTTTCTAGTGCCCAAACAAAACAATAGACTTTCTCTTAACACGCGAGTTTATTTCGATTTAAAATGCTTATCATTTTATTTTAAAGTTTTGTTTAAATTTCGATTTAATACGCTCGTTTTAAATATCAAGGTTTAAATAGAAATATAGCTAAACAAATAGAGGAAGATAAATTAAAACTCCCATACGGAGTATATGTAAGTTACTAACTTATCAAGAAAATAATAATTTTGTTTTACTCTTTTCAATTTAACGTTGTTTCTAGGTTATTTGTTTTTTAAAAGGATATTAATTGTTTTATTTATGCAAATTTATTAAATAAATTTAATTATACACATATAATTAAAGTCGCATATATCAAATATTAACAAGAAGTTTTGGCATATTTGTATTAAAGCAAAGAATAAATAGTTATGTTAAGTTAAAACTTTATAGTCATTGCACTAAACAGAAAATGTAAATAACATGTCAATATTCGAAAAAGTAAAAAAAGTTAAATATTATAAATTGGAAAAATAAAAATGTATAATAAAAGTAAAAGAAATGTAGTGCGATAGGAAAAAATTAAAGGGGAAAATAATTAAAATACCCCAAACTTTGAAGGGGTGTGAGATAAACACCCCAAACTTGCATATGTAATTTAAATACCCCAAACTTTATATAAAAGTTATTTTAGCACCATCTTCATGTATTATTTCTTTCAAAAATATTAATTTTTGGTGTTTATTTCATAATTTGATAATTTTTAGTATTCATAAAGATACAATTAACATTCTAAACTTCCATAGTAAAATAAATAGTATTACCCACCACTATATATAATTCTAATGTTTTCAATTTTCTATTTTAAATTATGCATTTAACACCATATATTTACATTTTTGAAAGAAATCATACATAACCATGGTGTTAAAATAACTTTTTATATAAAGTTTGGGGTATTTAAATTAGATATGAAAGTTCGGGGTGTTTATCTCACATCCCATCAAACTTTGGGGTATTTTAATTATTTTTTCCAAAATTAAAACTAAAACAGTCACAAAAGAAGAGGAGGTTTAAACAATTAAAAGACTCCAGGCGCCAGGGGGACTCAAACCCGGGTTTGTAAGAAAGCTAAAGCGAAGTTCTACCATCTCTGCTACCTAAACTATTGTTTACAAAACAGGTCGGTGTATATTTATTACATTACTTTGAGACGGGGCTGTACGCCTGTACATACATATATACATATATATACACCACCATCTCCGGCGAACGGGGGGCGGCAGCACCGGCTCGCCCCCCCTAGTTCCGCCACTGATTATTGGAAAGTTTTTTTTTAATTAAAATTACTATGACACTAATGATATTGAATCTTACTTTAATCATTATATAATTGGAGTCCTAATAAACTATTGGACCGAAAAGGAGGCGGAAAATGATGACATTAAAAATAAGAGAAACTATATTGTATTGCAAGATATTGTATTGCAAGCTCACAGACTTATATTTCTTCTATTTTCATATTCAATATCAAAGGACATAAACTCATTTCTTAAAGTTATTCTTAGCTTCTTACCCATGTTACTAGGTTAAGTGTTTAGAACTAAATCATAAGGGATTATCGATCATTAGATCGAGCGCAGGAAAAAAACAAGAATTCGTTAAATATCTTAAACGCCAATTACCATTTGGTACAAAAATATAAAAATGTAACAATCCCCTATATATGTTAAACTATCATTAATATTTTCTAATTACTCATACTTTTTTCTTCTAATTACTCTTACTAAACACCCTAAATCATTGAAACACAACAAAACTTTGAAAGACTTACAAGATGTTCCATTCGTTTGATTTGAATATTTCCGATATGAATATTTTAAAACCTGGTATGATCTGATCTGGATTTTTGTGTTATTATCTAATTTGAGTTTTTCTGGTGTGATCCGAGTATTTATGATCTGATCTGAATCCTTCTATTCTGATTTGAATCTTTTTTATCTAATCTAGCTGAATATTTCTGATCTGATTGAGTGTTTATTATTATTATTATTATTATTAAATTATCATTATTAATATTATAGTTATTATTATTATTAACATTATTCATAGTTATAACTATAATTGTAACAACTAATGTCGCTTTCAATCTTCCGACTATTATGTCACTCACACGTACTTTTGATACTCGAATTCGATTTTTTTTTCATATTTAGTTCTCCACTATTGTGCTAGAGACACTTTTGATACCCATCTATAAAAATTTCTACATTTGGTACTTCAACTTTCATTAAAGTGAAACTTTTGATCCTTGAACTACTATAATAGTAACATTTTTAGTCCTCCACTTATTGTGTCAAAATCATGGTGAGGGGACTAAAAGTGCCAATTCGATAATACGCAGGGAACCACATGTGAGAAATTTTGAAGTCGAGGACTAAAAATGAAAAAACTAAAAGTTGAGTACCAAAAGTGTCAAAAACGCAATAGTCAGGGGACCGAAAGTGCCAAAAACTCATAATTATAATTATCACTATAATTATAATTACAATTATAATAAGAATATCTTTATTGTATCATTAATGTTATCTTTACTCATGTAATCACTACTCATGCAGTCATTATTCAACATTTTTAGACTTAAGACACTCTAAGAAACTTAAGGCCATAGAAAACATAAAACTTTTCATCCACATAATATATTTGACAAAAAGGTGTATTTTTATAACAAATATATCCTTAATTTACTAATTTCTCAGTAATTTACAAATTTATTTTCCCGTGCATCGCTCGAGTAGAATACTAGTTTTATACACGTCGAAGTTCGGTGTGATCTATTTAAATCCGATTGATCTAGTCTGATCTGGTTTGATTTGATTTGGTTAGATTTGATCTAGGTCTTAAATTTGTCCAATAAAAATATCCGAAGTTCGGATGTTTATTTAGTAAAGGAGCGTTAGTATATACGGTAATACGGAGTAAAAAATAAAACTAATAACAAAAACCCTTTTGTACACAATTTTATTGTTGTTTATACGCTTGTACACACTACTTGTAAAGGCTTTTCTTTTGTCTGTAACAGACAAAACGTTTTTTGTCTAGGGTGGGCAATTCGGTTTATGGTTCGGTTTTCTTCGGTTTCGGTTCGGTTTATTCGGTTTGGGAGAATTTGTACCAAACTAAAACCATTTTTGTTTTGGTTTGGTCTCGGTTAGTTTTAGTTTAGTTTGAAATTCAGTTTACCAGTGAAAATTATTAGGTTCAAGTTAGTTCGATTTGATTCAGTTTCTTATGTTTATTATTTTATTTGATCAAGTTCTATATTTAGGAATGCGAAAATGAAAG